GACGCTGATGAATATGTTGAGAGTGAAATCTGAATGCCTATGGATGTGTCCGGAGTGCTGTGAAGATATCCTAACTCACAACTGCAACTGCACAAGGCAGATTTGATCTCTCGCTTGTAGGAAGAGATAACACCTGACATAGAAACATTGAAAACCCGTACCTAGTGAGAATGACACAGCAGGGAGCGTCCAGGGGCTAGGGACGCCGTTAGAGACTCGGAGGAAAGGCAGAACTATCTTAGAGTAGTTAAACCGGATGAAAACGGGTATCATCAGTATAGAGACTTTTCGTTGGCTGTTGAGGAGGGAATGCTGTGATGCCGAATATTTGCCCGGATGAAGCCACAAGGATGGGGGTACCAGGTACCGTCTTGGGAAGTAAAGGTGGCCGGCGTGATGCTGACCACATCACCCACCAACTACTGTTTGGTCTATAAAGAAGAGGTCTAGCCCTATATACCCAACACGCCTGAAGGCGGGGAAAAGAGTCCTTTACTTGACATATCTTTGGTGGGAGAAAAAGGTGAATAGTATACCCAGGCTTCTCTGTCACTACTAGATCAGGGCCGTGCCGATATAGAGACTCAGCCGCATCCAGCGGCACTGTAAGAGGCGGCAGAAGCAGAGTTTATTTTAAAGAACAAAAAATTTTAAGGGGTGCAATTTCAGAGACTTTTATAGTACTTAGAAAATCTACAAAACAGGTCTTTGCTAGATGGTGGTTGATTTTTTTTTTTTTTTTTTTTATAAGTTGCGTTCGACTAACTCATCATTAGAATTCATGTAACCCACCTTTAACATCATCGTGTGTTGTGGGAAAAGTAGTAGTAGTAGAGTAGATTTTTACCACACCAGGACATCACACAAACGATAAACAGCGGATAACACAGTGTGCCACCATGTGGATGAGGATCACCGTAGAGAGGTCCCAGAAACCGCATTTAGCCATAAGACCATATTTATGGTTAGGCTATATTGCGGCCCCTGGCTAGAGCCGGGGTGGGGCTTCAAAATAGAGAAAAATTGCTTCTCACAAGAAGATGATGGGATTCAATGTGGAAAAGAACGCTGGCGATCATAACCTTTCAAAGAATGTGTTTTCTATGTTGTAGATTTAATAAATGATTGTCTTCCGATACAACACACCAAATGTCAAATAAGTACTTTTGTATGGGGTGGAAACATGAAGAACAGCTAAGGCAAATACTAAAAAAAACTGCAGACATTCATTAACTGGTGCCTGCGCAGAATAGAGGGAATTAAATGGTATGATAGAATCACTAATGTAGAGCTTTGAGAGAAAACTAAGCAAGCTTCAGTGGACCAAGAGGTGAGGAAAAAATACTGCCTTTTGATAGGACGCACACTGAGAAAACCGGAGAACAATATAACTAGAATGTCTTTGCATTGAAGTACACAGGGGCATAGGAATAAAGGAAGGCAGAAAACAAAAAAACACGGAGAAGGGAGCTGGAAAATGAAGTTAGAAACATGGGGAGGACATGGGTAGAGCTGCATGCGATAGCAAAGGATAGAACAACTTGGCGTTAGTTGGTTGAGGCCCTATGCTCCATTTGGGGTCTAGAAAGGAAGAAGAAGAAGACAGCACACCACCATGTCTTGAAAATACAAAAATACTGACATGCGCCAATATCTGAATGTCAAGGACATCTTGCTCATCCACCCATTATAGAGAATGAAAGAATAGACCCACTGGTGTCGTAAAGTTTCCTCTTATGTATGAATCCTTTGATGTGGAGGCCATCTGCTTGAGAGGCAACAGTTTGCACACAAATAAACCAGATATGTAAAACGGAAATGCACTCAAAACTTAGGTACTGGAACAAGACTGATATCCAGAAGTGAACGAACTTGCAAACCTCTCTGCCAGAGTTTAATGTCGGTGAACGCGACGAATAAACGGATTCGCAGAGTCCAAAGAGTTGAGAACACCAGTCTCTCATTCGGGAGCCCAGGGTTTAAATTCTCAGTATCATAGATTTTTATGTCACTTCTGGATTAGCTGTACAGCACCTACGTGAATTTTTCGACTTTTGTTTTAAACAATCTGTGATGTATCAATTAATATCATTTTGTTTGTATCATGAGTCTACCTGCATCATATTAGATTATGTAACTTGTTTTGAATATGTTATCCAATCAGATTGTTATAGTGTACCCAATCAGATTTTGTGGATGGTGTTATGGATAACGAACATGTTCTACCGGGTATGGCGACAGGTTTCACATCAACCCTTTCACACTTCAAACGGCATGCATGGTATTGTACAGTATTACGTTCAGTAGTTTGCCATTGCTGTCTGGATGGTCAGCTCTCGGTACCATTGTCGAAACCAATGCAAGACGAACCGTCCACAGCTGGGATCAAACCCGGCGCCCCGGCATTACAAAGCGCGTTCACAACGCCTAAGCCACAGACGCCCACTTGAACAGTATTATTATTATTGATTTCCAGAGGTAATGAGAAGTGATTAAGTTAAACTCGAAAAAGTAGAGAGTGGTGAAGACCAAAACCGGTGATTCGAAGAAGGTTTTGTAGGAGATACCAGTGAAAAAACATAGTGATTAAATGTCACCAGTGAATTACTTCCAAAGTAGTGATAGACCAATAGTAGTAAACACCGGATTAGCCATATTTCTTGAGTGTGTTCTGACCAAATACAAGAGTAAGAAAACATTTTAAGCTAATGTGGAAAAGGAGGACAACGAGGGTGCTTAGCAGATAAGGTGATTCACTTATGATGCGTTGTTTGGGACTCAAAAAGTTAAAGAACAAAATGAACCACCTCGCAAAAAGAGTCGTTTTATAAACTTCACAAAAGTGTGCATTGTATCGAACAGTATTATCATTATTATTTTTTTCCACTCTTTTTAACACCGAGACAAACTGGCAATATAAGGTTTTATGTCAGTTATATTCCTGATTTTGTTGTTACCAGATGTTTTTTTTTTCCTTCCCACACCTTAACCCAATATTTCAAAGAGGCAAGAAGAGGCAGAAAAGAAGGAAAGGCCATTTTGAAGTATTTCTTCTTCTTCTTCTTCTTCTACTTCTTCTTCTTCGCGTTCACCAGCTGTAAACTCTCGTGGAAAGTTCTGGCTTTTCATCAACTTTTGGACTGCAGTCCTGTTCCAGAACCTGAGTGTTGCATGTGCATCCGTTTTACAGATCTTACTCATGTGTATGCAAACTGCTGGTTCTTTGCCTCTCAGGCAGATGCACACCGACTTCCCATTTAGTCCACTCTTACGACAGTAGGCAGTGGGTCTATTCTTGTTTTCCCTATAATAGGGCCCCGGAACCCACAAGGGGATTAATTATTTCTGATTACGTGTAAAGGGTTTTCTCTTGTTTTTATCTTTTTCATTAATCAGATATTAAATACTCTTTTCATGTAAATATGACTGTTTATTTTGAATCTATCATAATTCAAATGTTGACTGTAAGCATCTATACTCACCAAGATGATGTTAAAGATGTTTCACTTGGGATGTTTTCTGATTTCAAGCCTGTGATGTTTCTAATGATGTCATTTTTTATGATTAAAAAGTCACTCTTAAAAGTAGTGTTTGTTACTTTTGACTGTATTATACTAATATGAGGAATATCACAGTTGGGTGTAACCGTTATCATCTTTCTCATCATCATCCTAATGAAAGCTATCATTATCATTATCATCATCATCATCTTCACTGTCATTGTCAGTATCATTATTCTCATTATCAACAGCATTATTACCCTCATCATCAGCAACACCATCACAGCACATTAACATCATCGTCGGCATCATCTTCATCAACATTATCATA